CATTTGATGCTTCTTCTGCGGTCTTCTTATTATATAAGTTGTTCTACAAGCATTCTAGCGCATTACCAATTGATAGGTTCTTCAAAATATTTTTGCTTGTTCCAACCTTTATAATATTAGCGCAAATCTTTGTGATGCCAAATAGCTCATACATTGCACCTCCAGATACATCCTTATTTTATAATGGTAGGCGATCTCCACAAGAAAATGACAATCAACCCAACGAAACTGAACCACTATTGGGTAGTTCTGGTGATCATCCAACAATGTTACAAAGACGTGATTCCATTGGTGATGCATTAAAGCAGCATTATGTTTATGAAAACGACGAGGAGATGATCGATAACGGTGGTAGACTATTTGGCATTTTGCATGGCTACTCATCAGAATACCAAATGAAGACACCGTGGTTTTATTTGCTATGTGCATTTACTGCTATACAGATGTTAAGGTTGAATTATTTTATTGCAACCATTAATACACAATACACGCATTTGTTAGGTTCGGCTGATAACGCAGAACCACTTACAAGGTTTTTCAATCTAGCTTTACCGTTAGGAGGAATCTTATCAATTCCATTAGTTGGATATTATTTGGACAATTATTCTACTGTCACTGCATTTGCTTCATTGCTAGTTCTTTCTTTATTTGTCGGTGCTGTTGGGTTAGTGGGTAACTTTTATTTTGGTCTTGTTAACGTCTGCTTCTTTGTTTTTAATAGACCTTACTTCTATACGGCTATTTCGGACTTTTGTGCAAAGATTTTTGGATTCGATACGTTTGGTAGGGTTTATGGGGCCATAATATGCATTGCAGGTTTATTTAATCTTTTGCAATCTCCACTTGATAATATCACTCATTCAAAATTTGAAATGAATCCCAACCCTATAAATATACTTTTAGTATGTACCACCGTTGTTATTGGAGGTGTTACATTCTATTATATGAGTCGTCAATCTATACAATATCAGGAAAAGACCAATAGAAGTGTACCTTCCGTCTCTGTTTAGCCAATTATTTAGACTAGATATAGTAAGTTTCAAGATTTTGTAAACCGCACGCCGAAGTTGCTATCAGTACGAAATTACCAAATTCCTAGTCAGACAGCTATATATTTCGAATTTAAGCTGGAGGTGATACCCAAAGACATATATTAACAAATAAGGACGTTTACAGTATAACTTTGATAAGTGGTTGAGGTATTTTAATTTTAATTCAGATTTACAGTGCAATTTAATCAAATACATTGACTATGCCCCTTTCGGTGCCTTATATAGACAAAACAAAAAGTAATACTGCTGAAGCAGTTGACGATAATGTACCTATGCATTTATATCGTACGCCTACAAGTCCAGGATTGACGGATCCCGATGCAGCCTCAAGAATGTCTGTTATGGATGAAATTTTGAATAAGTCGGACCTGGAGCTAGGTGGCCCTGGTGGTCCATTAAATGATAAATCTCAAGACGATCTAGTGTCCAAAATAATACATCAGTCTGACGACTATAGGTTTGTTACATTTAATATCCCGAATAATATAGATAATTTGAAACATACGAAAGATAATTATAAGAAAAGAGTATCATTCGATACTATCAACCTACAGGTTGCGAGGGATCGTTTTGATTTCGATGATGATGATTATTCTTTACCACTGGAAAATAAAAAGTTTTCTGGTGACTTCAATCTTAATTTGTACGATGGTAATCGTGGAAGAGAAAGTATTAGATCTCCCTCGCCCAATGGAAGATCACCAATGCATTCGCCCTTGAGAAATAGCAGTATGTCAAGATTTTACATGGCCCCAAGACCCACTTATCCTACTTCACCAATAATTACACATAGAGGTTGTACATATTCTAGGATTCATAAAGACTTTGAAGATTTATACGCAAAGAAACTTTTTAATAAAGAAAATGGATACTTAAAGCCCATATTACCTCTGAGAACAATACTTGTATATATTTCGGGACGGAAGCATACTTGGGTTGCATTAGACTGGATTTTAAATAAATTCATAGAAAATGGTGATTCAGTTGTTATAGTTGCAGCAATAAACCATGATTTAGGAACAACAAGAAGAAGAAGTGGGTATCATAAACCGTTACCACGAGGTATTTCACCAAGAGCAAGATCTCGAAATAGGCCAGAAAATATTAAAGTGATTGCTGAAAGTATTATGAAATACGCAATGGAAGTTGTAAATCCGAATATAATAGCGAAGATCTCGATAGAATTAGCATTAGGAAAATCTAAGGACGTTTTGAAAGACATGTATAAGTTATATGAACCAAATTTAGTCTCAACTGGTTCGAAAGTAAATTTAAAAAGGTCTGCACCATTAAAATCATGGACATCATCAAAAATTAGTGATAGATTGGTTAAGAATTTTCCTTTGCCAGTAATAGTTGTACCTGCTATGAAAATGAATGATTTTGAAGAAAATTTGGCTATAGAAGTTAATAAGCGATATTCTCTTGGAGAAAAAATAAGTCGTCGCTCAACACAATCAAGTTCCAAAAACAGTGAGTTTTCAAATCCTCGTAGTGGAAGATCTAAAAATGACGATGACAATTATAGTGAGGCAGATTCTGACACGTCTTCAATAGATTCAGACCTTTCAGTTGAGAGTGAATCATATTCTGCGTATGATGAAATAAGTAAGCTTTATGAAGAATATAAGCAGACTGTCTCCAGAAACTTGAAGCATACTCGAGAGCAGCCCGTAGACGAGAACTATTTTGCTAATTGCTTGAAGGTTATTTCAGACGAATCTACCTATTTATGTCAAGAAATTAGGAATATTAATCCGGGCTTTCAAGGCAAAGGTTCAAATTTGGCCAAGGCAATCACAGGTTCCAATTCATTTGGTGTAATTCCCTACAAGGCAAAGTCTCTCCTTATACCGGAACCTGAAAGTAGTGATTCTGTTAGCCAGTCGCCTGGACCTCCAGGTTTATCCTACAAGGAATTGAAGAGAAATTTGAAGTTGAACGCCCAAAAAAATCAACAACCAAAACCGCCCCAAATAAATGTAGAGCGTGCACTATCTGACGAGTCAATATCTCGTCCACCTAAGACTTCTGCATTAAAGTTCGTTGACTTAGAAAAGCCATCGAAAGATAAAACTAGAAACCCTTCTAGTTATCATAAGTTAGGTAAGTCTTTATCTCATGATATTGATTCTAGTACGAGTAGACCTAAAATTGAACATACTAGATCACACCCAGACTTCACTACTATTGGCCATGTTAATGGTAAGGAGGAAAATGACAAAAAGAATAAAAAGAAGAAAAAGAAACGATTCTTGGGTCTATTTTAGATAATCCCATATAGTTAACATTTGTATAGAAATATATTTTGTGGTGTCGCAAAATGAGCGTGTAATGCCAAATACGGTGATGTATATGCTAACTATCTGGACTATATTAAAAACTTGTAAGGGGAGCTCAACCTAACATGATATACTAAATGAGGCTAACAATATACATAATAACTTTCATTTTGGGTATATTAAATGTTGTAAATGCAGAGGTATTCGATATAGGTTTTAATTTAGATATTGATGAACCTCTTGATCCATTTGATAATGCAAACGAATTCATTGGAGATAAACGTCTGCTTCTATCATCTTCATACAAATCTTCTACTGATAGATCGAAGGGCTTACAAGAGTTCACTCCGATAAGTAATCAAATTGGTCAAAGTGAAACTCAATACTATTCCTTCAGCGTAAACACATCTAGTGGGTTAGGTGAGTACTATGAATTTTTGATTTTTCTAACTGGTAATATATGTTCACAGCCTGACTATTTGACAGCTGATGATCCGAGTTTGACAGTGTATTACTCATTCAATTCAAGCATGTTCAGCAATTTTGAATTAGGACAAATGTCACACTTTGAGAATGGTTATTTCCAAGCATTAGAGCGAGTACCTATTTCAAGTGATGATATTGATTCAGTATTATACATTGCAGTACGAGCACCAGAAAGTACAAATCAGTCAGCTATATGGAAGTATGAAGTAGGTGTATCCCAAAATGACTTGGTATTTCAGTGGGACGATAGAAGTTGGGCATCCTTAGTAGATACGGACGAAGATTCTGCATTAATCGTAACAGGTAATTTAACGGGCAGTCATCTGACAAATTATTCTTCATTAAATGCAACCAAGTCAAAGTATTCCTTATTTATATACTCATACGATTATAAGGATTATTTTAAGCAATTAAATAGTAGTTGGTGTGCAGTAAGAAACGGTCCGGCTCTACTTTCAACGTCTTATTTCGAAAGCAGTTTCACAGATAGAGGTGGTGGACTACAACAACAATTCTTTGTTCCTGGATTGAATAGTTCAACTAAATATATTGCATACTTGGTATCAGATTTCATGGGAACTAGCTTTGGGGGTGCAGTTTATCAACCTTTCGAATTTGAGACATTGGGAACAAATGTGTGTGAGTTAATATATGATCTAGAGTTTTGTGATCAAGTTGCATATTCTGTTCCAAATTCTGAGAATTTATCAAATGAAGATGTTAAAGGATTATACGATAATAGAGCTAAATCTTTATTTTCGAACTTTTCAAAAGCATTGCAGCAAATAGCATGTAATACCACTGATAATGCAAAGTATTCACCAATAAAAACATGCAGTGATTGTTATGATTCATACAAGAACTGGTTATGTTCAGTCACAATTCCAAGATGCTCTACTAGGAACATTACAGGATATAAATATAGAGAAGTTGGTAAGTCGCGAAACAGCTTTATTAATGATGTAATCCAACCACAATCTGAATATTTTGAAATATTACCTTGTGTTAACGTATGCTATGCCATGGTAAGGGATTGCCCGGCTGATTTTGGATTTCAATGCCCTCAGAAGAATAATGATACAATCAGCTTGTCATATTATTGGGATAACGGAGGAAAATATGCAAGTTGTAATTATGTTGGAATCACTCTTTCAGATACTAGTAGCGCAATTAAAAAGTTTGTAATCAATTGGGGTCTATTAGTATGTGTAGTTCTTGTTAATATATTTATGTAAAAAGTGTATTTAATAGAATGCCTAGTGCGCAGACTCGCGTAAACTTTTAGCGCGTTTAAATTTATAACTTTAAGAATCACCATATTCCTAGTAAGTCTGCTTTGCTGAACTATTTGTAATTAAAGGTGATATGAGCAATTCGAAGAATATAGAAAATCTACCATGGTAAGTTATTCAATCTATTACAAACCAGCTTTTAAAGTCAATTACTAATACCATCTAGGGTTGAAAAGTATCGTCCAGATTCTTTGGATGAGGTATACGGGCAACAAGATATAGTTGATACAGTTCGAAAATTTGTCCACGAAGGTAAACTACCACATTTATTGTTCTATGGGCCTCCTGGAACCGGTAAGACCTCCACAATTATAGCCTTAGCAAAAGAAATTTATGGACCAAATTATAAGAATATGGTATTGGAGTTAAATGCGTCTGATGACAGAGGTATTGATGTAGTTAGAAATCAAATCAAGAACTTTGCATCAACTATGCAAATCTTTAGCAAGGGGTTCAAATTGATCATTTTAGATGAAGCAGATGCCATGACTTCAGTTGCACAAAATTCATTGAGAAGGATTATTGAAAAATATACCAAGAACACAAGATTTTGTATACTAGCAAACTATTCTCATAAGTTGAACCCTGCCTTAATATCCAGATGCACAAGGTTCAGATTTCAACCAATTGGAGAATCTGCTATTCAGGAAAGACTTAAAAATGTAATAATAAAAGAGAACCTAAACATCAATGAAGACGCAGAAAAAGCATTACTTAAATTATCTAATGGTGATATGAGAAGAGCACTCAATGTTTTACAAGCTGTTAAGGCATCTTTGGATCACGATAATGATGAAATTGATCAAGATATGATATATGAATGCATTGGAGCCCCTCATCCACAAGATATCGAAACCGCGTTAGACTCTATATTGAAGGACGACTGGACAACATCATTTTTGACTCTAGATCAATACAAGAGGACAAAGGGATTGGCACTAATTGATATGATACTGGGCTTTGTTGAAATCTTAAATAACTATCAATTGAAACCTAAAACAAGAATTGAGATATTGAAGGGTTTATCAGAAGTTGAGTATGGTATCTCGAAAGGTGGAAATGAAAAAATTCAGACTAGTACAATAATAGGTGTTATTAAGGACGCATTGGAGTTCGAAAAGTAGTATATGTTTATTAATTATATAATAATGATATGGTACATTCCTGCTATTGTTAGTATGCTGATCAGTATGATAGTAATATTGTAGTCATAACTAGATAATCATCTATCTTAACTATTCTTCTCATGAAACAAAAAGTATCGAAGAGCTGGGTTTATAAAATTAGAGCCTCCAGGGCTCGTTATAATCATATTATCTTTAGTTATATTACCAAAAGTATGGTATAATTGTAACATACTATTATGGCTAGTTTAAAATCATAAATAAAATGAAATCAAAATTAATTAAATTAAAATGATGGGTGAATTTATAGTTGAGAAAAATTTTCTCAAGCTTGTGTTTGGGCTAATTAGGGTCATAAAAATAAAAGCCTTTGAAAATTTCGTATTGATTATGCAAAACCGTAAACAGTCCTGATATTTTCTTACACATTCTCTAGTTATAAGGTAATCTTCCCTATGTGATGCGTTATTTACAAGGTATTAGAATATTTCGGGCCAAAAATGTACTTTCAGTTCCTAGAATATTAAAAAACTCTACATGTAAGCATATTTACACATTTAAATGATAAGCCATATTATACGTTATTATTATTCATGATTTAATCCATTTTTGCAGTATATATAACGTCCCTTTCTATGTCAAGGTTTCTCGCTTAGAGAGGGAACACTTTTCTATGATCAGGTTCCAATCGAGATAATAGCGCACGCCTGCATTTCAGCAAATGAATTTATATTTGTATTTAGTACAAATAAATAGTAACTACAAGTTGCTTAGTTAGGTGTATAATGAGTAGTACTATAAGATCTGGTACGCATATAATGGAATATCCCAGGCCAACAAGTCTGGACCAGGTCAGTTTTCATACAGATTCTCCAGATGAACAAATTGACGATAACAAAGTTCTTATAAGTTCGTACTTACTTAAGCGATCATCAAAAACACATCAATGGAAGAAGAAATGGGTGGTGTTGAGAAATTGTCAGTTAAGCTATTACAAGGATTCGAAAGAGCATAAAGCATTGAAGGTAATTGGCAAGTCCAATTTGTTATCATTCAGTACTATTTCTGATAACAAAAAGTTCCATTTTGCGATTTATACGAATAAAAAAGTTCTACATTTCAAATCAGTTGATGAGATAACATATAATAATTGGATTAATATATTGCGACGGTTTTATGATGAAAAGAGTCATATTGACAGTGAAGCCGTTAACCTAATAATGCAAGAACAAAGATCAAAACAAGCACAAGGTTTCGCGAGGTCTTCAAATGAAATGGAATATTCTGGGGATGAACCGCTTTCTTCGGGAGCATCGGATTCAACTACACCACGCACGCATGGTACTCCTGTAATGAAGCCATCATCTTCGTTCGCTGACCATCCAAACGAAGATGATGAGGGTAAAATTATCCATAGAGTGACAAATTTAAATCTACACGATTCAATTCAAGATGAAGGCGAATACATTCTTGAGCAGGGGTATTTGTTCAAGCTCCGGAAAAGATACAGCCAGTGGCGGAAATTCTACTTTATTCTAAGTAATAAGAATTTGTATGTTTACAAGCATCGAGATGATATTAGTCATGTTCATAAAGTCTTCCCTATTGATGATATAATAGATGTTATAGAACTCGACCCTTTGTCAAAAACAAAACAATGGTGCTTCCTTATCATTACCCCATTGAAACGAATGAAGTTCAGTGCATCTAATGAAAACGAAATGATCAAGTGGCTATCCGTCTTAAAAACCTTAATCAAACAGCGAATACAATAAGAGCAATACATAATTGGGAAAAAAAACACTACACTTGATTAATAATATAGATATATAATTTCTTAAACTTGACTCATATTACCTTTCCACAAGTTTCTAAAGATATATCGTTGAATGTGCATGACGTATGTATCCTTATGTAGTGAATATTGCAAAAAATGCACTAATGTGTAAATGGTCTGGACCAGAAAAAAAAGTACGAACGCCCTATTACATGACTATTTTACGACAATTTATTTTCTTAGCTACGAAGTGGATATTATATATATCAATGGATATCAATTCAATCGAACCGATCCTTAGTGGAGAATATACTTAAAAACCTTCTATTTGCTTTAACTTATTACAAAAAAAAAATTGGGCCTTATTCCAGGTACCGATTTGAAACAATCTTACTCAAAACTCCATATATATAGACACTATGATCCAATTGATTACACCAATAGCGGACAATAATAAAATACTTGGAAATACTTACTCAAGTGACTCCAGACCTATTTCTTTGGGCAGTAAGGTCATAAATCCTAAACGTAATGGTTATTATATATCCCTAGGTCCATCGATTCAAATACTCATAGAGGATGAAAAAATATTTCGATCACTTAGGACGGCGTTGCAACATTTACATCTATATCATTTTGCTTCTGGTTTAGAAACAGTTCCACAACAATTTATTAATCTTATTAGGAGTCCACTTCAATTTAGTGAAGATGATCTAAACACATACCATCCATTGATATTCTATCTCACTGGTATTTTGAACGTTAGTTTGAAAACTTTGACCACAGAATTGACCTTAATATCGCCAATAAATGCAATTCGAAAACGAATTGATGAATTACCATTACTTGGTGACAAGTCTTGTATTAGACATAAGCAAAATATGTTACTGAGATACAATTTATTGCAAATATCAGGATCGAATTTACCATTATCTTTGTTATACGATTTGGTGAACGGCAAGGAAGATTTTTTTTTACTTGCTCTGATTATCATTACAATTGATTCAATGTTTCCTAAACAAATGAATAATCCAATCTCGTTAATAGACGGGAATAATGAATTAATACGGGTTGATAATGCATTGGATATCCCTAAAAATCTTAAGACAATTGAAAAGCTAAGAGATATTAACTTGTTATTTTCAAAGCTTGATAAATTAAATTTGATTGATGACTGTAACGTTAAATGTTTTTCAAGCATTTGTCCTGGTAAGGATGTTCAGTCACAACACACAGCATCAACATTTGATATTATTCCCCATATAAGTTCAATGCATACTTCATCTGACATTCTTAAGTATACACCATATTTACAACAAGGCATTCAAAAAAGCACAGATTCTATTCCTATGAAAAAAGAGAATGGATCTTTGGACGACAATGCTTTTTGTAATCCTATCCAGAATATAGAAAGAACTTCGTCTCCTATGACTAATTTCAGGGGAGAATATTCCATTTTAACAAATCCAAGACATATAACAGGTGCGAATCAAAATAGTAATGGAACGAAGGATTCATCACTAGATTCATCTGAAGGGAATAAAGCGCAATCATGTTCAAATGGACAAAATCAAAATCGAGAAGCTTCAGGAAGAACTAACATTTCATCGTTTAATAAGAATAATTCATCCGGTTCAAACTCACTGAATAAGCACTCTGAATCTAACGTATCCTGCGGAGGTGATGATAATAATAATGATGATGACAAGAATAATAATTTTAATAGAATTAAGGATAATAAAGGATCTACATCTGCTTCTGATTCTGATTCTGATTCTGATGCAGACTCTAATTGCGGTCCGGAATCAGAATCAATTTTGGAATCAGAATCTAACTCTGTATTTTCTACAGTATTGAATAATTCCAAAGATAATAAAGAGGAAAATGATATTGTAGAGATGTTGGCAGATTTATTTCCGGTTTATCCTAAAAGTGAATTGTTAGCAAGAGTTCAATCTATGACTGATATTGAGGAATTAATCGATACTATATTCTTGGAGCAAGAAGAGCAAAATGAGAATACTCTAAAGGCTACTGATGCTAAAACGTATTCAAGTCATGTTTACACATTAAAAGAAATATTCCCTGGATGTGAATTTGAAGTGCTACAGAAAATTTTGAATTCGAATGCTGGAGATATAGCCCTCGCTTCAGCAGAAATCTTACAGAATAGTACCGACGATGGAATTTCTTCCAACGAAAAAAAAAGTAATTCACCGTTTAAGAATAAGAATAATATGGCCAAGTCACACTCTTCGTGGAATGCAATGCAAATGGAAGCTTCAAGGCTTGAAGATATTTTAAATGTCCCCTCTCAACAAATACTCAGTTACCTTCATAAACATGAAGGCAAATTTCACGAAACACTTGTTGCCATTATAAATGAAAACTCTATAAGAAAACTTAATTTAGCTTCAGGGTCTTCGTCCAGTAGCAGGTCCTCAGTATCATCCCTTAAGCGTGTACCAAGAGGGGGGCGGGTACAAGGTCTGTCATCGAAAACCATGATTCCTGTCCCAAGCATACGCTTAGGAAGTGCTCCACCAGATGATGAATACAAGTATGACGAAAATAGTCTTGAAGCTAAAGAAATAAGAGCTATTTACGTTGGAAACCCCGAATTCAAGTCGATAAATGAACAATTCTTTGAGAAGTCATTAGTCTTCTTTCGTGGTGATGTTGCAAAAGTTATCGAGATTGTTGTATTATTGGTACAAGAGAAGGCAGGTCATTGCACATTCAAAGAGAAACCGTCGGCAAAGAATTCCTCTGGTATTTCATCCCAGATAGGTGCCAGTAAGAAAAACGTGTCTAGGAAGAAAAAGGTACCAGACATTTCCCT